TTGGAGATTATGACCCAAACCCACTCATAAACATCTGACTCCTGTCTGTAGTTAGAGGTCTTGTTTTCCTGACTGTGCCCACCCACCACCTTCCCCAAAGGGACCCGACATCTGCCCACCTCGTCCTGAGTCTGCCCTCGAGTCAGCAGGTTCCTGCATGTGAGAGGCACATCGTTGATCTCGACCTCAGCTACCACCAGGTCATCCTTGCTTTTACTGCTAGTTAGGCCTTTGCCAGCAGCCTGAAGCTACAGGAGAGATTGGATCGGAAAGTTTGTAAGATGAAACAGTATGTTTCTGCTGTTCAATTTACAAGTGCCCCTGCCCAGGTCCCACCATCACCTTATTGCTGCCTTTATCTGCCTACAAATACACTTGGTCACTCCTGGGTCATTCTCCAAAGATGAAATAACAAGCGAACAAAACCTCACTAAATGGACACAAGTGTTACCAATTTACTTGAAGACAATCATCAGATTTCTCTGGAACGGAGGCCATGTGTGCATTTCTATGACTGCATAATCCCAGAAACCCTACGGACTAGAAGCTGCAATCTCCGGGAAGAAAATTAAAAGACTAAGTTATGGTGCTTTACAGCTCAACCAGCTAGCTGTATGTACAGTAAAATACAGGGCAGAGTCCACAGCACGATGCAGAGTCCAGCAACCCACGCACCTCATGTGTGGAACTGGACGCTATCTTTGTGCCAACACCGCAGCCACAACGTATCACATGCAACCAGTCCCATCCTTGCAATGATCTGGAAAACCGGTCAAGTTTACCTGACAACCCATTGCTCCCCATTAAAGGAGAGCTAAGAGAATGAATGAAACGCCAAGCAAAATCCTAAAATCTGATCTGGTTTCTCCCAATTTAAACTATAGGCAACTCCAGATAGCGGATATGAATTATCGGAAAAAATTTTCATCCCAAGATGGCCTTCCGCAACCCTTTGTTGCCTTGGAACAATGTTCGGCAAATGTGCTCAAAGGAGATAAAACACAATTTACTTCTTCACGCATTAGATACATTTTTTAAAAGAGATTTATTGGGGCGCCTGGGTGGCTCAGTCGTTAAGCGTCTGCCTTCGGCTCAGGTCATGGTCCCAGGGTCCTGGGATCGAGCCCCTCATCGGGCTCCCTGCTCAGCAGGGAGCCTGCTTCTCCCTCTCCCACTCCTCCTGCTTGTGTTCCCTCTCTCGCTGTCTCTCTCTCTGTCAAATAAATAAATAAAATCTTTAAAATAAATAAATAAATGAGATTTATTTACTTATTTTCGAGAGAAGGAGAGAGAGAATCTCAAGCAGACTCTGCACCCAGTGCGGAGCCCAACAAAGGGCTCGATCTCGTGACTGCGAGATCATGCCCTGAGCCAAAATTAAGAGTCGGACACCTAGCGGACTGAGCCACCCAGCTGCCCCGCATTAGATACATTTTTCAAAGTACACAAACTACATAGACTCAACAATATCTCATCTTTGTTCATTATTCATTGTATTTTTGTTTGCAAAGAGCTGCAATACCTGCTCAGTATTGGCCACCATCAAAGGTACTTATCAGGGACGCCTGGGTAGCTCAGTTGGTTAAGCGATTGCCTTCGGCTCAGGTCATGATCCTGGAGTCCCAGGATCGAGTCCCGGGATCGAGTCCCGCATCGGGCTTCCTGCTTGGCGGGGAGTCTGCTTCTCCCTCTGACCCTCCTCCCTCTCATGCTCTCTGTCTCTCATTCTCTCTGTCTCAAATAAATGAATAAAATCTTTAAAAAAAAAAAAAAAGGTACTTATCAGTGCTATCCCACAGGACCTCCTGTGAAGACGCAGGTGTTCTTTACCTCGCCGTCCAACACAGCCACAGCCTCATGTCCAAATACTGTGACAAGGAGCTAAATTTTAAATTTTAATTCAAATTTTAATTTAAAAAGCTACATGTGGCTAGTGACTACTGTTGTGGACTGCACAGGTGACACCAACCCCATCAGAAGAGGAAACTGAGGCCCCACAACGCGTCTAAGCCCCACAGCCAGTAACTGAGGATCCCGGTGTCAAATCCATATATTGTTTTTTTTTTTATTTTATTTATTTACTTGACAGAGAGAGACACAGCGAGAGAGGCAACACAAGCAGGGAGAGTGGGAGAGGGAGAAGCAGGCTTCCCGCAGAGCAGGGAGCCCGATGCGGGACTCGATCCCAGGACTCTGGGATCATGACCTGAGCTGAAGGCAGTCGCTTAACCAACTGAGCCACCCAGGTGCCCTGATTTTTTTTTTTTTTTTTAAAGATTTTTATTTATTTATTTATTGAGAGAGAGAGAGAATGAGAGAGAGAGAGCATGAGAGGGAGGAGGGTCAGAGGGAGAAGCAGGCTCCTCGCCAAGCTGGGAGCCCGATGCGGGACTCGACCCCGGGACTCCAGGATCACGACCTGAGCCGAAGGCAGTAGCTTAACCGACTGAGCCACCCAGGCGCCCTATATTCTGTCTAAAGCCACTACTGGCACCATGTTGCCTCCTGCTGTGCTCAACTGCTTTTTAGAGGAAAAAAAATGAATAAATGATTAACATCAGTGTTAAGAATTTTAATATTCAAGGAGCATTCCACCTTAGTGTGCTTTTAGTATTTCCTTGCCGAACTTAGAAATGGACAGTTGACTCAATCTTTGCAAACAAAAATACAATGAATAATGAACTTCCAATTCACTAAAAGTTCCCACCAATTCTGCAGAACCTGAATACTGAAACATCCAGACAGATAATGGCCATTCTGTTGTTATACTCATACACTAGATAGCTAACAAAAAATTGTATCATCTTGCCCCTCCCCCAGCTTTACTGAGCTATAACGAATACATAAGAATTGTACACATTTAAGGTGAACAACTGGACGTTTTGACATACGTATACATTGGGAAATAATTGTCACAAACATGCTAATAAACACATTCATCACTAACCCAAATTGCATTTTCAAACACAGAACCCATCTCTTCACTGGAAGGCTATTTTTAATTGAAGTCAAAAGAACCTTTTTTTAAATGAGAATTATAATGGAATGAGCTGCCTTAGAACACACTCAGAGCACTGAGCTTATGGGAATTCAGAACACTGAATTCTCCAACTGTAGAGGCTTTCAAGCAAAAGCTAAACCCCTGACTGTCTGAAGTGACTCTGAAGTCAGACATGTGCCCGCCGTGACAGATCTTATCTTATACAATTCACATTCACGAGCCTCATTTTCCTCCTCTGAACCGGCGACAGTAATCCATCCCATCAAATTGCTGCAAAGAATTTTTTTAAGTGCAAAGCATGCATTCTAGCAATACAAACAGGCACTATGCTCATTATCCTGTACGGAGATTCTTGTCTTCTACTGCAGGATAAATTAAAGACTTCAAAGTTCAGATCCCTCCTAGTCGTGAAATTCTAATTATACCAGAAATTCTATAAAATGACCAAATAATTTCCTCAATTTGCGTGAAAACAGCAAAACCACCAACATATAAATTATTCAATTTATTTCACAATTACAGTGCAGGCAGTCATTAAAAACCTATGGATTCTAATTACAGAGAACACTGTTTGTATTTACTCTTTAGCATAGTTGACTAGACAGTTTAAAGCTCGCTTGATTTACCTGAACGTCTCTTTCGACTTCAGGGAAAATGCACGTGTTGACTAACGTATTACATCGTCCCTTTACGGGATTACGTCAAGAGAAGTTAGGCTGAACTAAGTGAACGAAGACAAAATCAACTATTTGGTCCATAAATCTAATCAAACCAACCAAAACTGCCTCTAGAAACAAACGACAAAGTATCACGTGAGGCATTCCAAAACTAAGTGATCTTTAAACTACCGTAACCCTGTTTTCTCCTCAACACGAACAGCTGATGGCAGGATTACAGAACAGCCCCTATTAAAGCTACACTTAGCAGAGTCCCTTCAACCGCATGTACCTTCTCAGCGGCGTTCTGCGTCGGTTTCAGCTTCCCTTTGGCCATGAGCATGGCATTGATCTTGGCAGCCACGGCGGCAGCGGCATCCAAGGCGCCCGAGGGAGCAGCCGCGGAGCCCCCAGGGCTTCCCCCACTGCTGGGAACCTCCGCACCCGGGGCCGACGGGGGGAGGAAGAGAAGGGGGGCTGGAGCTGGCTGGTCCCATTTGCTGCGGCGCCTACAGGAAGAAAGAGGAAAATATTAGGGCCCAAGGCTTTTATCTCGGGTTCTCCCCTTACGACGCTTCGGCACCCCGCTTCCCCTCCACCACGTCCTCTCTACACCCTCGAGCCTCCCGTCGGGATTAACATTCCCGCCCCTCCGAAACACAGCACTGCTGCAGCTCCACTCCACCCGCCCCCTCCAAACGCTCCACTCACTCCCACATGCCCTCGTCTTCATCTTCCGCTTGGCTGGTCCCTCCGAGAGTCCCCGCTTCCCTCCTCCCCCTGACCCCTGCCGGCCTCCTTCGGGGACCCCCAGGCCTGCTCACCAGCTTTCTCCCCAAAAGCCCAGCCCCCGACGCGTCCACGTCCCACTTCAGCGCCCCCCCCCGGACGCAGCTCCCAGCGGCCCCTCCGCCCCGCCCCCGCCCCGAGCGCGCTGCGCTGCCCTCGCCCACGGAGCTTTACCCGCCGGCCCCGGGATGTGCCGCGCTCCCCGCGGACATGGCGACCGGCTCTGCTCAACCACCCGCCAACCACCCCACTACCACCCTCCCGTCACTTCCGCCCCCAACGCCCTCACGCACAGCCCCTTCCGGTCGTGAGGAAAAGCTGTTCCGGTGAGAGCGCCGGTTCCAATTGGACTCTCGTTGATTTCAAGGCGGCTGGCGTTAGCTGAGGCAGGTAGGGTGGGGCCTTCCTGCTTGCGCCCTGCCCTTGAGAAAGATGGCTGCCGAGGCGCACATCGAGGCGGAATTGGGGCGAGGCGTCCATGTTTGTTGTGGGCAGGCTGATAGCGGCCTACACGACCGTACGCATGAGTCAGGGAATTGAACAGGTTTCTCCCCTCAGCCCAGCCACGTTCCCTGGCCAGGGAGAGAACCTTCCGCCACTTTGGCCCGCTGCACGTGTCTGTTACCTGTTTAGGAAAAGGCAAATGGTTCGTCCCAGAGGTCATGTGAAGAATTCCTCTGGTTTTACGTCTGTGCGCCAACCACTGCTTTCAGAGCAGGGCCTCGGGGGTGCGCCGCGAGGGGGCGCCGGCGCCCGGGCGGGAGAGAGGAGGTAAAGGCCGGCCCGGGCGCACGGCCGCCGGGGGGACTCGGGGTGGGTCGTGGACGGCGGAGGTGAGGGGCGGGCCCGGGCGCACGGCCGCCGGGGGAAGGGGCTCGAGTGGGTCGTGGACGGCGGAGGTGAGGGGCGGGCCCGGGCGCACGGCCGCCGGGGGAAGGGGCTCGGGGTGGGTCGTGGACGGCGGAGGTGGGGGGCGGGCCCGGGCGCACGGCCGCCTGGGGGACTCGGGGCGGGTCGTGGACGGCGGAGGTGGGGGGCGGGCCCGGGCGCACGGCCGCCGGGGGGACTCGGGGTGGGTCGTGGACGGCGGAGGTGAGGGGCGGGCCCGGGCGCACGGCCGCCGGGGGAAGGGGCTCGGGGTGGGTCGTGGACGGCGGAGGTGGGGGGCGGGCCCGGGCGCACGGCCGCCGGGGGGACTCGGGGCGGGTCGTGGACGGCGGAGGTGGGGGGCGGGCCCGGGCGCACGGCCGCCGGGGGAAGGGGCTCGAGTGGGTCGTGGACGGCGGAGGTGGGGGGCGGGCCCGGGCGCACGGCCGCCTGGGGGACTCGGGGCGGGTCGTGGACGGCGGAGGTGGGGGGCGGGCCCGGGCGCACGGCCGCCGGGGGAAGGGGCTCGAGTGGGTCGTGGACGGCGGAGGTGAGGGGCGGGCCCGGGCGCACGGCCGCCGGGGGAAGGGGCTCGGGGCGGGTCGTGGACGGCGGAGGTGGGGGGCGGGCCCGGGCGCACGGCCGCCTGGGGGACTCGGGGCGGGTCGTGGACGGCGGAGGTGGGGGGCGGGCCCGGGCGCACGGCCGCCGGGGGGACTCGGGGTGGGTCGTGGACGGCGGAGGTGAGGGGCGGGCCCGGGCGCACGGCCGCCGGGGGAAGGGGCTCGGGGTGGGTCGTGGACGGCGGAGGTGGGGGGCGGGCCCGGGCGCACGGCCGCCTGGGGGACTCGGGGCGGGTCGCGGACGGCGGAGGTGGGGGGCGGGCCCGGGCGCACGGCCGCCGGGGGAAGGGGCTCGAGTGGGTCGTGGACGGCGGAGGTGGGGGGCGGGCCCGGGCGCACGGCCGCCTGGGGGACTCGGGGCGGGTCGTGGACGGCGGAGGTGGGGGGCGGGCCCGGGCGCACGGCCGCCGGGGGAAGGGGCTCGAGTGGGTCGTGGACGGCGGAGGTGGGGGGCGGGCCCGGGCGCTCGGCCGCCGGGGGAAGGGGCTCGAGTGGGTCGTGGACGGCGGAGGTGGGGGGCGGGCCCGGGCGCACGGCCGCCTGGGGGACTCGGGGCGGGTCGTGGACGGCGGAGGTGGGGGGCGGGCCCGGGCGCACGGCCGCCGGGGGGACTCGGGGTGGGTCGTGGACGGCGGAGGTGAGGGGCGGGCCCGGGCGCACGGCCGCCGGGGGAAGGGGCTCGGGGTGGGTCGTGGACGGCGGAGGTGGGGGGCGGGCCCGGGCGCACGGCCGCCTGGGGGACTCGGGGCGGGTCGTGGACGGCGGAGGTGGGGGGCGGGCCCGGGCGCACGGCCGCCGGGGGAAGGGGCTCGAGTGGGTCGTGGACGGCGGAGGTGGGGGGCGGGCCCGGGCGCACGGCCGCCTGGGGGACTCGGGGCGGGTCGTGGACGGCGGAGGTGGGGGGCGGGCCCGGGCGCACGGCCGCCGGGGGAAGGGGCTCGAGTGGGTCGTGGACGGCGGAGGTGGGGGGCGGGCCCGGGCGCTCGGCCGCCGGGGGAAGGGGCTCGAGTGGGTCGTGGACGGCGGAGGTGGGGGGCGGGCCCGGGCGCTCGGCCGCCGGGGGAAGGGGCTCGAGTGGGTCGTGGACGGCGGAGGTGGGGGGCGGGCCCGGGCGCACGGCCGCCTGGGGGACTCGGGGCGGGTCGTGGACGGCGGAGGTGGGGGGCGGGCCCGGGCGCACGGCCGCCGGTGGGAGGCTCGGAAAGGCCAGTGGACGGCGGAGGTGAGGCGCGGGCTCCGAGTGGGTCGTGGACTCGGCCCTCTGACAGTGTTGGAGGGGTTTGGAGCTGCAAGGAGACTCGGTTGAATGGATAGCTTGAGGTGCTATTTTTCAAATGAGTTTGCATCCTGGTAGGATTAATAGAATGCAAATTAATTTGAAATCCAAATTCGTGTTTTCCCTTCAGCTTTTAATAAATGCCCCTTCCATACAAACAGCATCTTTATCATATAGGGAATTTTATATATACAGTATTATGTTCTTTCATTCTTTTGCATTGATGTATTTGTTCTTTTGCTACAGCATCTTTATTGAATAATTCTCTCTATATATTTATTATCTATTGGGGAAGTGGATTCCCATCTCTTCTGTGTTTCCTTGCCTATTCTGACAGGTTTATTTTTCCCAAGAATTTCCGACTAAACAGCATTGTTTTCCTTTTGCCCCTTACCCCCAAATACAATGTTTTGGGAGTCTGAAAATACATTGTTTAGGGGGCGCTTGAGTGGCTCAGTTGGTAGAGGATGACTCTTGATCTCAGCCCAGGTCTTGATCGGGTGGTGACTTAAATCCCCAAGTTGGACTCCATGCTGGGCGTGCAGCTTTAAAAAAGAAAAGAAAAAGAAATTACATTATTTTTTCCTTTTTAAAAAAAAAATTGAGATGTGATTTATAAACCATACTACCTTTTTTAAAAGAGTACTGGGGCACCTGGCTCAGCTGGGAGAGCATGCAACTCTTGATCTCCGTCATTAGTTCGAGCCCCGTGTTGGGCGTGGAACCTACTTAAAAAATAAGTAAAGCAAAAGGGTACTTGAAGTGCTTCATTCACAAAGTTATGCAGGCATCACCATTACATAATTCCACATCGTTTTCATCACCCCAAAAATAACCCTACACCCAGTATCAGACCCTTCCCATTTCCCCCTGCTAACGACAACCACTAATCTACTTTCTGTCTTTCTGGATTTGCCCATTATGGACATTTCACATAAGTGGAACCATAGAATATGTGACCTTTTGTGTCTGACTTCTTTCACTGAGCATCGTGTTTTCAGGGTTCATGCATATTTTAGGGTGTCTGTGCTTCATTCCTTGTTGTGGCCAAATATTCCATTGTATGGACAGACCACAACTCACTCATCCGTTTAGTTGTTTATAGATAGATATTCGCCATTCTTTTTTTTTTTTTTAAGATTTATTTACTTAATGAGAGAGAGTGGGGAGGAGAGGGAGAAAGAGAATCTCAAGCAGACTTTGTGCTGAGCGTGGAGCCCAACTTGGGGTGACGTGGTGCTCCATCCCACTACCCTGAGATCACGACCTGTGCCAAAACCAAGAATTGAACACTTAACCAACTGAGCTACCCAGGCACCCCGATAGTTACCATTTCTATCTTTCCTTTGGAAAAATGCCTTCAAATTCTTTGCCCTTTTAAAAATTGGTTTGTCTTCTTATTGTTGAGTTGTAAGAATTCATTATTTGTTATGAATCCAAGTACTTCCAATATGTGATTTGTAAGTCTTTTCTCCTGCTCTGTGGGTTGCCTTTTCACTTTCTTGCTAGTATCCTTTGAAACAAACATTTTTTAATTTTGATGAAGCATTTTGTTTTTAAACTTGGGAGCATCGACAAGTTCACTGTGATGACTGTCCGGCCCAGGAGTGCAGTGTGACCTTCCATTTGACTCTTGCGTTTGGCCCCCAGTAAATCTTCTGTTGTTTTTCATCTAGGCTTTTGTTTCTTTGCAAGTATAGTCATAGGTATTTTAAATTTTTGACTGCTATTTTGAAAAGACATTTAGTTCTATTTAAGCAAATTGTTTTTCTTATAAAAGAAAGTTACTGGGTTTTATATAACCAGCCACCTTGTTACACCCTAAATAGTCCTAATAATTTTGTGGCCAAATCTCTTGGATTGATAAAATGGTGTCATGGACGAGAGGCCATGCTGCCTGTGTTCAAATCACAAAATCACTGTTGACTTACTTGGGTGAACTTGGGTCAAATTCTGGGCCTCAGCTTCCTTATCTTTTGTTTTAAGATTTTATTTTTGGGGCACCTGGGTGGCTCAGTCGGTTAAGTGTCTGCCTTCAGCTCGGGTCATGGTCTCAGGGTCCCGGGATCGAGTCCCGCATCGGGCTCCCGGCTCAGCGGGGAGCCTGCTTCTCCTTCTGCCCCTCTTCCCTGCTCATTCTTTCTCTCTCAAATAAGGAAATAAAATCTTAAAAAAAAAAAAGATTTTATTTTTAAGTGACCTCTACACCCGATGTGGGGCTCGAACTCACATACCCGAGATCAAGAGTCACATACTCCCCTGACTGATCTGGCCAGGTGCCCCCTCCCTTTCCTTATCTTTAAAACGGAGGCAATAATAGTGCTTGCCTCACAGTTGTGAGGGCACTATGAGTCAATATAAAAGGTTCTTCGAATACTAAAGGTATAATAAATATTTCTAATATTTTGTAGTTATAAGATAATTTATAGGGGCGCCTGGGTGGCTCAGTCGGTTAAGTGTCTGCCTTCGGCTTGGGTCATGATCTTGGGGTCCTGGGATTGAGCCCCGCGTTGGACTCCCTGCTCAGCGGGGAGTCTGCTTTGGATTCTCCCTTTCCCTCTGCTCCTCCCACAACTGCGCATGTCTTTATCTCCCTCTCTAAATGGATAAATAAAATCTTTAAAGAAAAAAGAAAAAAAGACTATTACTTTGTTATATTGCTGGTTGAAAAGTCTCTAAAGTGGAGAGGTCTGAGGTCATTTTTCCTTCCTGTTTGGTGCATAGTCAAAAAATTGGCATATGGATCCCAGTGACTGTGCACCTCCTAGGGCTCATTTGGGTATTATTAGGCCATCCACTGCCACCTCTCAGGCAGCGACAGTGGGGGCAGGATATAAAATTCAGGACCTGTCAGCATCCCCTCCCGCCCTATGACTCCTGCCCCTGGCTCCGTATTCCGGTGGCACTTTCTATGAACAGCTCAGTGTGCTCTTGCCCAAGGGTGCTGTCCCACACCCACCTCCAGGATACCTCCCCCGAATCCGTGCAGAACAGCCCGAACATGGAAAATGCCGGAACTGGGTCTCGCTGATTGGGCCCCATCCTCCCCCACAGCAGTGGGACTTGTGACAGGACAGAGAAAAGACTGACAGCAGGCTTTCCCAGGGTCTCCGGTGTGCTCACCCCCACCCTTTGGGGTGCCACCTTCTACTTCAAGCACTTACTGAATAATTTTCCCAAACAAAGGGATTTCCTATGAGGAATTCTTCTGTCAGTTCTAAAAATAGCTTTATAATTTCTGTCACCGTACAAGGGAAATCCATCAAGAAGGAGAAGAATGGGGAGAAAAGAGGTAGCACGTACAGCTCCAGTTCCAGCCTGTGTGGGGCCTGCCTGTATCTGTGTTGTGTCCTCCTAGCCCGGAGGTTTCCCAGTGTAGCTTAGACTCCTGCAGGGTCCCCCTCCCTCCCACTTCCTTGAGCAAGCCTCCGAGAGCCTTGGCTAGGTGCAACCGCGCAAGACCCAGAGAAATCAGGGACCCTCGGTGGGACTGCGGAGCTGGCCGCGGTGGGCTAGCCACTCCTGGCCGACCAAGCACAACTAGGAGACAGGGTCAGGCTCTGGAGGTCCCGTCAGCAAAATGGGAGGATATTAAAGTGTGTGATTATCCTTTAGGATATCCTTTATCCTTTAGGATAAAGCCTTAGGAAAAGCACAATCCCAAAAGAGATCAACATTTTGTTCCAGGCATAGGGGGAAAAAGTGCAGTTACGTAATCCTGTTAGACAAAACTATTCCTGTCATCTGAAAGTACTTGAGGCCAGGTCGAGGAAAATTAATCCCTTTCTTGTCAAATTTTAGGCCCTAGTGAATTCTTTGCCATACTAGATTTTTGTGACTAAAGCTAATGCACTGATTGGCCACGACCAGGCTCTTGACCATTGGGTGTGGATTTCTGGGAGAGCCAGAAGAGGGGGGGGAACCCCTAACATCTTGGCTGCTCAAAAACACTTCTCAGTGCAACACTCCCCCACCAAATCATGACTTTTCAGAGGGTTATGATGAGTGGGCTTAGAGATGATACGTAAAATATAACTGTTCCCAAATGCAGTTTCTCATGAGAGCTGTGAGGAGCGGAGCGGGGGGGTGGGCAAAATTCAGGCATGTGTTCCTGCCGGGCAACAAATTCTGCAGGACCGACTGTCCCAGAGAAATCACACCTGTCAGGAAAAGGCTGCGGCTTTAATCACACCACTTCGAAATCACCATTTGGCAACTATGACAGTAACGATCGATTCAGACAAGAATCATCAAGGGATGCTGAAGATACTGGGTCAAGGTTAGAGGAGTAACAGGATATTTACATAGCCTCAGAGCAGCTCCTCACAAGATACTTGTCGTTACAGAAGGGAGAATGGTATCTTCACAGTGGAGAAACATTCCAAGATGCCACCTTAACTCAATGATGGACCCTAACGTCACCAGTAATAGAGGTCCTGCCCCTCCTGATAGAATACTCTTAAATGAACACAGTGCCAAAAATGTTGTAACCCAAGTCTAATCATAAGGAAATAGACAAATCCAAGTTGAGGATGTTATATAAAATAACTGACCTTTAGGGGCGCCTGGGTGACTCAGTCAGTTGAGCGTCCGACTCGATTTCGGCTCAGGTCATGATCTCCAGGTCCTGGGATTGAGGCCCACATTGGGCTCCACACTTAGCAGGGAGTCTGCTTTGGATACTCTCTTTCCCTCCCACTCCTGGAATAAATAAGTAAATCTTTTAAAAACAATAACCTTTACTCTTTAAAAATATATAACATTTCAAAATGTCATGAAAGACAAAACCAGAGGAACTATTCCAGCCTCAAGAGGACTATGAAGAGATGCTGACTGAATGTCACACATCTGAGATTTCTTTTGCTACAAAAGATATTATGAGGGAGGGGCGCCTGGGTGGCTCAGTCGTTAAGCGTCTGCCTTCGGCTCAGGTCATGATCCCAGGGTCCTGGGGTCGAGCCCCGCATCGGGCTCCCTGCTCTGCGGGAAGCCTGCTTCTCCCTCTCCCAC